TATCGTTTGGGGGAGGGGGAAAACGGGCCACTTTAGGCCTCTGGGAAGGGGGCATGGCCCTGAATGCCCCCTCCCTGGATCCGCCAGTGTAAGAAGAGACCATTGGAGCTGCAGTTGGGTACCTCAGACATCAGGGTACGCCCTCAGATGTATGTATAGGACTCGCATGGAGACCTCTTATGCTATAGTGTACTGAAAGGACCCAAAGGAGCCTCTCTATATGGGCTCCCGGAGATAGACGTGGACCCTCAGGAGCCCGCCAGAGCCCCAATGAGGGATAAGTGAGGGATACCAAGTGCCTGCAATTGCATATTGCATAAGCCATAACGCCTTTACAAATCAATATATTATGCATCAGTGGCAGATCCAAAGGGGGCCACATGGGTCATGACCCCCTTGGTGCCCGGGGGCACCACAGGCCTGTCAGGGGCACCACCGGCCTAGTAGGGGCACCACCGGCCTAGTAGGGGCACCACCAGCCCGCCAGGGGCACCACAGGCCTAGCAAGGGCACCACGGGCCTGTGAGGGGCCCCACAGGCTTGTCAGGGGCACCCCAGGTCTGTCAGGGACACCACAGACCTGCCAGGGGCGCCGCCGGCCTCGCAGGGGCACCATGGGCCTGTCAGGGACACCAGAGGCCTAGCAGGGGTACCACAGGCCTTACAGGGGCACCACCGGCCTTGCAGGGGCACCTTGGGCCTGTCAGGGCCCAGGGGCACCAGCGGCCTAGCAGGGGCACCACAGGCCTGCCAGGGGCACCACCGGTCTAGCAGGGGCACCATGGGCCTGTCAGGGGCCCCACCGGCCTCGCAGGGGGCACCACCGGCCTCGCAGGCATCACGGCATCACGCAGGGGCACCTTGGGCCTGTCGGGGGCATCACGGGCCTGTTGGGGGCACTTTAGGCTTGTCAGGGGCACCACAGTCCTGTCAGGTCCCAGGGGCATCAGCAGCCTAGCAGGGGCACCCTAGCCCCGCCAGAGGTACAGCCCACCGCTAAAGTAATGTAGGGTTTTACCAAACTCAACGGTTGGCTTTGACTGGCGATTGTTTAATGCGAAGTGATTGAAAAGAAGATGTCAATAGCTAAAGTTGCAGCTGCAAGGGTGACGATACATATAAGCTACATTCAAAGTTTCATTGTAGTCTGGCTAATCGTTCCTAAGCTTCAGAAGCAGAACATACCCATGACTGAAACCCCACATTACTTCTGCTGTGGACTGTACCACAGGCCTGCCAGGGTCCAGGGGCACCACAGGCCTAGCAAGGGCACCACGGGCCTGTCAGGGGCACCTCAGGCTCCCGTGCCCCCCCCCCCCCAGATCCGCCAGTGATGCCACACCACGCGAAACACCGCCAACTACCAGCTGCCGCGCCATAAACACGTGCCAACAACAGTCTTTTTTTTAAGGTCGACTCCGCTCGCGCAACTTTTGACTGACCCTCACTGCTACTATATTGCTTCCATATTATGCTGTGGAAAGCTTTACTTCACCAAGTGGCTAAAAACCTCCATCAAGGTATATTTTCTTAGCAATTTTTCTGGCGTTTTGGGGGGGGCCAAACAGGCCACTTTAGGCCTTTGGGGGGGGGGCCATGGCCCCCGTGGCCCCCCTGGATCCGCCAGTGGTTCCGACAGGGTGAAAATGTGGTTGAGTCAAGCATATCCTGTAAGCGAGAAACACTTAAGTTTATATAACCAGGTAACTTATCCTCGTATGTATAGGAGACGGAAGATGTAGCCTTCTTTTTTCATTCTCTTCCTGTAGTCTTCCTTGTTTTTGGTGTAAGTCTTTGTCCTTCTTCCGAGCTGTGTTAACTAATAAAATGCACTAGGAATTTAAAGTATTTATATGTAGTCGTCTTTTATTCACGTGTGTCCACGGCGCTGTCGATAGCCGTAGCCGATAGCTGGGGTTACAGTGAGGGGACACCTTGACATCTCCGGTCAGCCGGCTCGGTGCTGGGTCGATACGATTCGCTGTCCGACGTTATCGTTATGCCAATACCCTGGTGACCGTCTGATCGGTCCCGTATCACTGTAGGAAATATTGGTATCCTGGTGACCGCTGACTGGTCCCATAGGCCGTATCACTGTAGTGATAATGTCCTGGTTACCCTGGTAGGTCCCGTTATCACTGCAGCACATGGTCTAAGTACTTACACGCTGTGATACAGTGATAAGTCTCGTATCAGTGTAGTACTTATGCCATATTGACGGAGACCAGTCCCGTATCACTGTAACTAGTATGTGTGTACTAGTCTACTACCCCAGTTTTGGTAAGCTCTGGTCGATCTCGTATCACCGCCGCACACTGGGCCGATCGCCAGGTCTAGCACGACATGGGTAAAAAAAATCGAACTTTGTGGATGTGCAATGAAACCTATACCAATTTGTTCAAAAATGATCATACTACATTGCTGTGGTCTTTGTTTTTCAACACAATTGCTATTTCAAGGCGAAAACTCAGCTTAAACACGAACTTCGGAATCGTTTGGACCGAACTCATCCCCCGCACTCTTCGACAACGTATCTTTGATCCACGAAAACAATCACAATTTGAGGAGGAATTCCACATTTATATACACCAGTAAAACGCCTTTTGGGCGAAGAACGAGCGAGCGAGATAGTGAGCCCTGCACGTGCGGAAGGGCGAGAGGGTACTTCCAACGGGCTTGTGCAAAGCACCCTTCTAACCGGTCGCTAGCGGTGTGCCAAATTTGAACGCAATCGGCCCAGCCGTTCCTGAGATCTGGAAGCGGCATTCTGCACGTGCGCACGTGCAAACGGGGTCCAAAATGACTTTTGCACGGCACCCTACTAACCGGTCCCCAACCGTGTACCAAATTTGAGCGCAATCGGCCCAGCCGTTCTCGAGATCTGGAAACGCCCCCTGCACGTGCGCACGTGCATTAGCACCCTAACCGCAACACATGGGAATGCATTGCCTGGTGGGTGCCTACCTGTATGCCAAGTTTCACCGAAATCGCCCCAGTAATTACCGAGTTACTGAAATGGGAACCAATTTGGCACCTCTTATTGTTGTATTTTGCACGTGCAGTGGGGGTCACTCACATAGATGAAGAGTATCCGACCTTTGGTAGAAAGGATGCAGCTACCCTATAAAAATGACCGCAAGACAATCGCTCTAGCCGCTGCTGAGATATGGGCCTCTCAAAATCATGACTTTTGCAAAACTGCTTGAACACCCTTGACTTTTCACGTGGCACGTGCCACGACGGTCACTGAGATGTATCAAAAGTAGTCAATTACGGGGTAGAAGGGATGGGGCTACCCAGCAAAAAAGACCGCAGGCCAATCGGTCCAGCGGTTGCTGAGATATAAGCCTCTCAAATGCGTTACAGGCCGGGCCGGGCCGGGCCGGGCCGGGCCGCTCATACTGAGATTTTTCCGTTATATTGAAAAGACTTCGCTTCGCTCGCTGCGCTCGCTCGCTCGTAATCAAACGATAGCTCCGGGTCTGCAGAACACACATAACCACATGAAAATGGCGAACTCTTACTTGGTTATGATGTATTGGCACCGCAAAGATTTAAAGACGAAAATATAATTTCACATAATTGATGTCACACACAAATAGACTTTTAAAAAAAGTACCGCAGAGTACCGCTTCGAAAATCTCGCTACATGTCAATGTTTCATTGCACTACAAGATCCAACAGTCATTTTTTTTGCGACTTTTTGCGACTTTGGATGTAGCAGCCAAACATCAACCCGCGCCGGACCGGTGCTCGGCGTCAAACGCGCCGGGCCGGGAGGTGTTAATTGAACACTCCCCTTCTAACTCGGCTCTTGGGCCACATAGCGACACGTAGTAAGTGGCATTGGAAAGAGCGCCCGAAATTCCAGATGGAGTAATTAGTCATTTCTAGGTCAGGTCAAAGGTCACGTCACCAGAGGTCATCAAAGGTAAAATGTTGCATATATCAACATTTCTCGAAAACCGGCCCTTATCTCGGGGACCAATAGAGATACATCGTCGCGGAAAAGTGCATTCAATTGCTCTTTTAGCGGTCTTTCTGAAATAAGCCCTCAGATATGGCTTAACCCTCGCCCCTAGTGGTGTTTTTCCAGCCGCGAACGTATAGAAGGGGTCCGTTGGCCCCCCGCCGTTTCGCCCCTGATCGAGCTAGAGCTTCGCGGAAAAGACGAGCGTGTTGCCCGTGGCAAGAGGAAGCTGTTAATACCCAATTGTAAGGTCCTAGGTCATCGGTTGACCTTCCAGGTCAGGTCAATGACCCAAAAGTCGAAAAAATCGGGACCTGTTAGAACGTCGTAAAGGGTGGCTGCTATGTTTTTTTTTTTGGTGCTGATCACGAAAATAATGTTATTTACGATCATAGATGATGTCTTCATACATTTAGGCCAGGTCGGGTCAGGTCAGGTCAGGTCAACCAGAAAGGGTTTTGCCGGGTATTTGCAGTAGGTGGCAACCGCCTCTGACAGCTTTGTAACATGTTACGAAGGCACCAAAGCTACATGGTAAATGTTCAAATGGTTGCTAGATTCGAATTCAGCTCCAAAAACTAGCCTAGAAACATATAAAACTCGAAAAAGTGAAGTAAGGTCATCAAAGGTCAATGACCTTACCTGACCTTCTGGTGACCTTGACACCCACCCTAATGCATGGGAGCAACATAATATCCCATGTTTAAACGCTTTAAACCAAGAAAAGACTGCAAACCTACGGCTAATGCGAGCCGACATAGGTACCCTGAATCGCGATTCCGGCCAAACATGGTCTCGAAAGAAGGTCACAGGTCAAAGATCATTAGGGTCAGGGTCATGAAGTTTTCAGGTTAGCTGTAAAAGTAGTTATCGCGAGGGTACTGAAAGTTTCGTTGCGATCGGCCGCTTTTTACGCGAATTACTCGCGAAAAACCGAGGGTTCCGTTCGAAGATTCAGGCCCTGTCGCGCTAGAATGGCATATCGGCCCACTGTGCGCCGGTCCTGATACCCTGTGACCGCTCCGCTCAGGATCGCCGTCTCCAGCCGGGTCAGAGGGACGGCGGCGTCATCGTGCACGAGCGCAGCCTGGTTCTGCCCAATGTCTCCATGGACCAGTCGGGGGAGTACAGCTGCGAGGCGACCAACGCGGAGGGCAGCGCCCGCAGCGCATCCGTCCGACTGCGCGTGCTCTGTGAGTATAGAGCGAATCACGATACGGATATGTCACGCCTTAGCCGAGTGGTTTGTGGAATGCCGATGAGATGAATGAAGGTGTTAGGAGCGCTAGATTAAATCAATTACCTACGGTAGCTGGTGCATTTTCATGTGAACTTCTGCTTGAATTAGGTTTAAACAGAACTTTGTTTAAAGTTTAAACAAAACTTTACCTATGCAACTTTATTGGCCTTGAAACACCGAAGAGGGCCCAGTTGAGCGCGAAAGACAGGTAGACAAGTAAACCTCTGACCTGCCGTTCTGTGTTATTTCGACAGACGCGCCACGCTGCCAGCGTCCCAGTAGGCGGATCTACTTCCTCCCTGGCCGTCAGGTGGAAATCACCTGCCAGGTCACAGCCCAGCCTCTCAAGCTGCGCTTCAAGTGGTTCATCAACCGCTCCACCGCCGCCAGAGAGACCATAGAGCCGAGCAGGTAGGTTATAAGAGCCATATAGGCTAGAGCCCAGGTTGGCAACAGGGACATCCGTCATCCAGGCCCACCAGATGGTAGCAGAAACCTGGGCGTAACATGCGGACCGGTTTTGAAGTTAATGTACGGTGAATTATGACATTTTATTATGGAAAACTTGCTTGAGTTGACCTCCAATCAGTGCGTCAAGAAAAGTAAAAACGGCAATAACATCGTTCGGTATTAACCCGCGACCTGGTGGGGGGGGGGGGGGGGGGCTATTTTTTGCCCCCCCCCCTCCAGACTTTTCGATATATCTCCAGAACCGCTGCGCCGATCGTCACCAAACTTTCAGTACCCTCCTGGACATCAATTTTACACAATGTTGTACCCGTATGTGCGTTTATGTTACACCGCGTCGCTGCGGTGTCCGAGTCGAGTCGGGGCTGACCTGACCTCGCCCCTGCGGGCGCCCTGCCCTCCGCCGGAGCCTGACCTCGCCCCTGCGGAGGTTACCGCCGCGGGGCACCGGCTGACCGCTGACTGCGGCGGCCGGCGGGGGGGGCGGGCATTCGGGGACGGAGCCGGAGCGTGACGGTCGTGCGGTTTTCGTGTCCGAGTGCTCACAAGCGGTGAAAATACAGTGTGCCTTTTTCAAGAACTTTATGTTGACTCTGGCGGCGCTCCGCTAACATTGGGGGCTCGTCCTATGCGATTTTGATAGCGCCAGTGATTCAGTAACAATTATCAGTGACTAATTCAAAGTGACTATCAGCACCGCACGGTGCCGGTGATGGCTGTCTCTGCGCTGCACCAGCCGTGCCTGTAGTCGGTGCCTGCCGTGCCGCTGGTGCCTGTCTCGACGCGGACCGTGCCTGCCGCCGGAGTCTCGACACGGACCGTGCCTGCCGCCGGTGCCAGTCTTTTCTCGAGCGTTCCTGTCTCGACGTGAGCCGTGCCTGTCGCCGGTGCCTGTGTCGACACGGACCGTGCCTGCCGCCGGAGTCCGTCTCTACACGACCGTGCCGGTGCCTGTCTCGACGCGGACCGTGCCTGCCGCCGGTGCCCGTCTCTACACGACCGTGCCTGTCTCGACGCGGACCGTGCCTGCCGCCGGTGCCGGTCTCGACGCGGACCGTGCCTGCCGCCGGTGCCCGTCTCGACGCGGACCGTGCCTGCCGCCGGTGCCCGTCTCGACACGGACCGTGCCTGCCGCCGGTGCCCGTCTTTTCTCGAGCGTTCCTGTCTCGACGTGAGCCGTGCCTGTCGCCGGTGCCTGTGTCGACACGGACCGTGCCTGCCGCCGGAGTCCGTCTCTACACGACCGTGCCTACCGCCGGTGCCTGTGTCGACGCGGACCGTGCCTGCCGCCGGTGCCCGTCTCGACGCGGACCGTGCCTGTCTCGACGTGGACCGTGCCTGCCGCCGGTATCCGTCTCTACACGGACTGCACCTGACTCGCCCGCTGACCGAACCTGCACCAGCAGTACTTGTGCCGACCGAATCTGGCGACTCTACTTGGCGTGAGTGCTCAAATCTGCCGCACCGGTGAGTACCTGGTACCGATTGCAGGGCGCGAACTTTTGTGCATCACTGCATCTAGACCGCGTGCAAACTGATTTATTTGTATGGTTGAAATATTTCACCATATTTTGCGGTCTGTGACACTTGTATGGCCCAAATAACGACGGAATTAGGCGTGATCAGCCCTGTGTTTGTGTGAGTGTGTTCGAAAAGTGTGGATCGTACGCTGCTGATAATTATAGGTTAGCCGGTGTGTCTCATTCTCATAGGTCAATTGTATTTGCTGGTTACGGTAATCGCATTCGGGAAATTTGCCATATTTATTACCCGTACTTCCATAAACACGCAGCCGGGGCTAGGACCAAATCCAGCTATCCAAACATGGCACTATTCAGACATTGTGGTATATACATTGCTTAGTCCGTCTACGCCGTTGTCGGCAGGGTCCTGTCGCCTTCGTCATCACCCGGATCCTGTCCGTCCCGTCGTCGGCTGGATCCCGTCTGCCCTGTTGTCGGCCGATCCACAGTCTGCCCGTCTGCCCGGTCGTCGGCCGCGGCACCGCCTGCCCCGTCGATCGGATCCCGTCTGCACATCGCCTGCTCATCGTCGATCGGATCCCGTCGGCACCGTCGTCGGCCGCGGCACCGCCTACCCCGTCGATCGGATCCCGTCTGCACATCGCCTGCTCATCGTCGATCGGATCCCGTCGGCACCGTCGTCGGCCGGGGCACCGCCTGCCCCGTCCATCGGATCCCGTCTGCACATCGCCTGCTCATCGTCGATCGGATCCCGTCGGCACCGTCGTCGGCCGGGGCACCGCCTGCCCCGTCCATCGGATCCCGTCTGCACACCGCCTACCCCGTCGATCGGATCCCGTCTGCACATCGCCTGCTCATCGTCGATCGGATCCCGTCGGCACCGTCGTCGGCCGGGGCACCGCCTGCCCCGTCCATCGGATCCAGTCTGCACATCGTCTGCTCATCGTCGATCGGATCCCGTCGGCACCGTCGTCGACCGGGGCACCGCCTGCCCCGTCGATCGGATCCCGTCTGCACCGTCGTCGGCCTGTGTGCCGCCTGCCGGTCATCGGCTGGGACATCGCCTACCCATCGTCGATTGGATCCCGTCGGCACCGTCGTCGGCTGGGACACCGCCTGCCCCGTCGATCGGATCCCGTCTGCACATTGCCTGCTCATCGTCGATTGGATCCCGTCGGCACCGTCGTCGGCTGGGGCACCGCCTGCCCCGTCGATCGGATCCCGTCTGCACATCGCCAGCTCATCGTCGATCGGATCCCGGGGCACCGCCTGCCCCGTCGATCGGATCCCGTCTGCACATCGCCTGCTCATCGTCGATCGGATCCCGTCGGCACCGTCGTCGGCCGGGGCACCGCCTGCCCCGTCGATCGGATCCCGTCTGCACATCGTCTGCTCATCGTCGATCGGATCCCGTCGGCACCGTCGTCGGCCGGGGCACCGCCTGCCCCGTCGATCGGATCCCGTCTTCACATCGCCTGCTCATCGTCGATCGGATCCCGTCGGCACCGTCGTCGGCCGGGGCACCGCCTGCCCCGTCGATCGGATCCCGTCTGCACATCGCCTGCTCATCGTCGATCGGATCCCGTCGGCACCGTCGTCGGCCGGGGCACCGCCTGCCCCGTCCATCGGATCCCGTCTGCACATCGTCTGCTCATCGTCGATCGGATCCCGTCGGCACCGTCGTCGACCGGGGCACCGCCTGCCCCGTCGATCGGATCCCGTCTGCACCGTCGTCGGCCGGGGCACCGCCTGCCCCGTCGATCGGATCCCGTCTGCACATCGTCTGCTCATCGTCGATCGGATCCCGTCGGCACCGTCGTCGGCCGGGGCACCGCCTGCCCCGTCGATCGGATCCCGTCTTCACATCGCCTGCTCATCGTCGATCAGATCCCGTCGGCACCGTCGTCGGCCGGGTCACCGCCTGCCCCGTCGATCGGATCCCGTCTGCACATCGCCTGCTCATCGTCGATCGGATCCCGTCGGCACCGTCGTCGGCCGGGGCACCGCCTGCCCCGTCCATCGGATCCCGTCTGCACATCGTCTGCTCATCGTCGATCGGATCCCGTCGGCACCGTCGTCGACCGGGGCACCGCCTGCCCCGTCGATCGGATCCCGTCTGCACCGTCGTCGGCCTGTGTGCCGCCTGCCCGGTCATCGGCTGGGACATCGCCTACCCATCGTCGATTGGATCCCGTCGGCACCGTCGTCGGCTGGGGCACCGCCTGCCCCGTCGATCGGATCCCGTCTGCACATTGCCTGCTCACCGTCGATTGGATCCCGTCGGCACCGTCGTCGGCTGGGGCACCGCCTGCCCCGTCGATCGGATCCCGTCTACACGTCGTCTGCTCATCGTCGATCGGATCCCGTCGGCACCGTCGTCGGCCGGGGCACCGCCTGCCCCGTCGATCGGATCCCGTCTGCACCGTCGTCGGCCTGTGTGCCGCCTGCCCGGTCATCGGCTGGGACATCGCCTGCCCATCGTCGATTGGATCCCGTCGGCACCGTCGTCGGCCGGGGCACCGCCTGCCCCGTCGATCGGATCCCGTCTGCACCGTCGTCGGCCTGTCTGCCGCCTGCCCGGTCATCGACTGGGACATCGCCTGCCCATCGTCGATTGGATTCCTACATTGATTCACCGCGTCTCTTGCGGCTACTACGGTGAGTCAGAACGAGATGGCTGAGCCGGAGGAGCGTGTTGCTCAACTTGAGCTACAACTGCAGGAGGCACTCGGGCGCATCAACGAACTGAGCGAACTGCTGGCAGAGCGAACGTCAGTCGCACCCACTCGGGATACATCTCGGTTACCAGCGGCAAGCCGAACTGAAGAGCAACTTGTTCATGTCCCGGAAGCGACCCATGCGGAGCAGCCCATGCGGGATCAGTCAAGACCTCCGGGGAGTCGGCCTGGTGAGGGATCGTCTGGGGGATTCCTTCTTCAGCAGACGTTCACCATTCCGACTTTTGGTCTGGGTGGTACTACAAGTCTGAACCAGTACTTCCAACGATTTGAAGATCACTGCTCACGCACGTATTCCGGAACTCTGGACGAAGCTCTTCCGCTTCTGCAGTCTCTCTTGGTCGGTGAAGTGGCCGAAGTGTTCTCGGCTTGCGGAGGGACCGAAACCACGTATGCAAAACTGAAGGAACGTATGCTACGTTGGGTGGCTGTCCAAACTGACCACACACAGCAGAGTACTCGAATTCGTTTCGACAATGCGAAACCAGGACCAGGAGAGGACCTTGCGCTCTTTGCCCTCCGACTGTCTTCTCTTTTCGAAGACGCCTTTCCTGGTGAGGACGTCCAATCGTCTGAGCTTCTACGAGACCGACTTTTCCAGAGCCTGCCACCTGTTATCCGGGAACAGCTGAAACTGGACATCAGATATAACAGGGCTATCCACGGCAAGACGCTGCTATGGGATCATTACCTGACGATTCTTCAGTGTAAGAAGCACACAGTAGCGGGATTAGACTCCACGGTACTGGCCGCAATGGAAGAACCGCCACGAGGAAGAGCACCTGAGAGACCGGGGATGGCAGTGGATCGAACTGCTCGCCGTTCTCAGAGGAACACGCATGATGAGTCCGGCACTCGGCGACGAAGTGAGAAGCAGCGGAATGAAAGTGTTCATAGAAGCCTTCAACGCGAATCAAGGTCTGAACAATCCATGGCCAGAGGAAAAAGCAGTGACAGATCGCGGGCGTTCTGCAGTTTCTGTGGCCGTCGTGGACATGCTGAGGACATCTGTCGACAGAAGCTTGGTCTGTGCTTTGCTTGTGGAAGCTCAGATCATCTAGTTCGAGACTGCGAATCACGTTCATTTACACGGAATCCAGGCCGACGGGAGGGAGGTGCGGAAGGTTCACAGCTCCGTCAGAGCGGGTCCGCTTCACGCGCCCGGAGGCGACCTGGAGCTGGTGCTCGATCGGAGACTCGTTCTGCAAGTGGCGACAGTTCTCGATCACCATCCCCCGTCCGTACAGTTCGATCAGATCGCCAGGGACACACAAGGCAATCGGAAAACTAGTCGGTCACACAGGCGAACCAGGGCAGCCTGCTGTGACCGAATACAGCCCTGACGGCGAACGTTTTCGTGAAGAAAGCAGCATCAACGGAGCGGACGTGTCTGTTCTGTCGCCTGTTAGACGATCGTCTTCCTTGTTGGCCGGGTCAACGTCTGCCTCGTTGCCAGCGCCGCCTGCCCAGTCGTCGAATGGATCCCGTCGGCGCCGCCGTCGACAAGAGCACCGCCTGTCCCGTCGTCGATTGGATCCCGTCGGGCTAACGTCTGCTTCGTCGCCCGCCGGGCCTGCCCTGCCGTCGCCTGCTCTGTCGCCCGCCGAGCCACCGTCTGCTCTGTCGCCCGCCGAGCCACCGTCTGCTTCGTCGCTCGCCGGGTGGCCGTCTGCCTCGCCGCCCGCCGTGTCGCCGCCTGTTCCGTCGCCCGGCGGGCCGCCGCCTATCTCGCCCGCCGGGTCACCGCCTGCCCCGTCGTCGGCCGGACTGCGGCCCGCCCCGTCGTACGCCGGGCCACCGTCTGCTCTGTCGCCCGCCGGGCCACCGTCTGCTTCGTCGCTCGCCGGGTGGCCGTCTGCCTCGCCACCCGCCGTGTCGCCGCCTGTCCCGTCGCCCGTCGGGCCGCCGCCCGTCTCACCCGCCGGGTCACCGCCTGCCACGTCGTCGGCCGGGTTGCGGCCCGCCCCGTCGTATGCCGGGCCACCGTCTGCTCTGTCGCCCGCCGGGCCACCGTCTGCTTCGTCGCTCGCCGGGTGGCCGTCTGCCTCGCCACCCGCCGTGTCGCCGCCTGTCCCGTCGCCCGTCGGGCCGCCGCCTATCTCGCCCGCCGGGCCGCCACCCGTCTCGCCCGCCGGGTCATCGCCTGCCCCGTCATCCACCGGACCACGACCTGCCCCGCCATCGACCGGGATATCGTGTGCTCAGGGGACTCAAGAAAGAACGCATCTAAACACCTGCAACGCCAGTGAAGTTGACCCTGTCTCAAGCCTGCTTACCGTTGACGAACACAATCCTACAGATGACTGTGATGGTGATGCACCCGACTCGACGAACGCTTCCGTCTTCACTTCTGCTATTTCATCTCCGTCTATTTTGCGAGTTTCCGTTCAGCTGAATTCAGAAAACGTGGAGGCGGTGTTGGACAGTGGGTCGGGCAGAACAATCATTGGAAGTAAGTTTGTGGATGTGGATTTTATGACCCCAAGTGATGAAGTGGTAAGAGCTGTTGGCAACAGTGCTCTGCCAGCCCTTGGCCGAGTATGCCTTCCAGTGAATATGCACGGAATCGAACTCCAATTGGATTGTTTGGTGTTGGACAGCAGCAAGTGCCCTGTCGAACTTATCATCGGGAGAGATGCCATGCAGCAACACGGCCTCTGCCTGGACATGAATAGAAACGCTGTTTCTGGGTCTCGGAAGGATCGATCTCGATGGACACTATACTTACCACTCGGAAAGAAGGAGTCTTGTGTATTGTTCATGACTGATGTACCGTGTGTGGCGGTACGAGAAACCCGAGTGACGAAGCGAGACACAGCCGTACTAGGTTGTTCAGCCGTCCTCCCTGCTGCGTGTAGCTCATGCGAGATCAATTCCCGTCCTCTTGTCTTTGCTGGTCGTGTGGACGCGTCAAGTGACCTAGAGTTCGTCTCGGGTATCTTTGATCCAACCAACCCGCGTGTCCTCGTATCCAACCGGGGAATGGCTTCAGAATCAGTGCGTAAGGGTTCTATTCTCGGTTACCTGGACTCCGCCGCGGACAGCGCCCTGGACGTGGAGGGAAGCGTGCCGGTGTACTCTTCTACAGCATCCACAGACGGGATCGAGCCCGATGGTTCCTGTCCCTCGGCCTCCGACATACCGGGTCTCTCTGAAGATCAGCGAGCGGCGGTACAGGAGATCTTCGAACGTCACTCAACAGTGTTCATGCGCTCGGATGCGGATGCGCTCCAGTCGTTGATGACACCACATCGTATTGAGTTGACTGATGATACGCCCATTTACATCAGACCACGGAAGATGTCTGCCCCAGTTGCGGACGAAGTCGAGCGTCAGTGTCTAGACTTGGAGCGTCTCGGCATCATTGAGCGATGTGAATCTTCTTGGAATGCTCCCATCGTCCCAATCCGAAAAAAGGATGGCACATTGCGACTGTGCATTGACTATCGCCGGCTAAACCAGAAGACTGTAACAACCAGATTTCCCATGCCAGAGGTCAACGATACTGTTTTTGGGACTCATCACGGAGTGCAGTGGTTCAGTGCACTGGACATCTCCAAGGCATATTATCACCTCCCTCTGGAGGAAGAGTCACGTGACTACACTGCATTCAGCACACCCAGGGCCCATTGGAGGTTTCGACGCCTTCCTTTTGGATTAAAGAATGCCCCAGCACAATTTCAAAAGGAAATGCAGACGATTCTTCACGGATTTGCACGTGAGAAGCTTGTCGTATATCTAGATGATATTCTTCTGAAGGAGACTACGTTTGAAAAGCATGTGCAGCTGGTCGACGACGTTCTTACGGCGCTCGGATCCCAGGGAATCAAGCTGAACGGACGCAAGTGTACTTGGTTTCAACCAGAAGTGAAGTTCTTGGGACACATCATTAGTTCATCGGGTCTTCGGAAGTCACCGGAGTACGTGGACCAGATCCAGCGACTGGATAAACCGCGAACGGTTCACCAGCTGCGACAGTTCTTGGGAATAGTGAATTACCAGCGGAAGTTCGTAAAGGACTGCTCTACAATCGCCAAACCTCTGTCTGCACTGACAGGCTTACCTGCAAAGACTGTTCTGACCTGGACTGATGAGATGATTGAGTCATTCGAACAGCTGAAGTCCGACATGCAAGCTGATATAACACTCGCGTTCCCCGATTACAGACCTGATGCAAGTCCTCTCTGTCTGTGGGTGGATGCCTCTGCTATCGGTGCTGGAGCGTGCTTAACTCAAGAGCAGGACGGACAGCCCAGATTCATTGCTTTTGCCTCGATGACCTTCACCAGCGCGCAAAAGAACTACTCAGTAACTGGTCGTGAGCTTGCTGCTCTTCGCTGGGGAGTCAAGACATTCCACTCATTCTTGTGTGCTGTTCATTTTAAAATCTACACTGACCACCAGGCACTGATGTACCTCCACAACATGCGGCTCGTCAACCATCGTCTTGCCCGCACCGTGGAAGAACTTGCTGATTACAACTACGAAATTATCTACGTCCCTGGACAATCAAACTTCGCCGCAGATCTCCTGTCACGGATGCAAGTGTCCTCAGCAACAGCCGCTGGGACCTACCAGAACGAAGAACTGCCAGACGGTCTTCGTCTTCGGTACCGTCCTGAAGGCGGTGGAAACTCTCTGGTGGATTGTCTTCGACACTGGATGACTGAGAGAGATGGGTTCCCTGCAGACGGTGGGGACATTCGCCGGAGGCTGGTAGATGAGGCCCTTCGGAGCCCCGCTAAGTATGGCTTCCGGCTCGATCGGTTATCTCGACAGTCTCTGAGGCTGATGCGGTTTTCAGGACAACCTCTGGCGATGGATATGCTCACCGTGGCAGCAGCCATGTACAAAGTAAAAATTGTCGTTCATTTTGGCCCAACTAACCCGATGACCTTCACTGATGACTGTCGTTCAGCGAATGATATCCTGCACCTACAATGCCTTGGGGGCATTCACTTCAATCTCCTTCAGTCGTACCTGGAGACCGACAAAACGCAACTGACCGCTGCGAGCGTTGCGAGTTGTCGAGTCTCTGCAAGGAGTGTGGAGGAGACACCAGTCACGGCATCTCAGGTTGATGACACGACGTCCTCCAACTCGTCCTGCAAGAAGTTGAAGCCAAGCTGCGACCATGACCAGCACACTCAGTGTACCATCACAGCGTTCTGCAATGGGGTGCCGCTGTGTGGATTACTGGATACCGGTGCGGCCATCGGCATGATAAGTGCCAGTGCATTGCGGCTCATTTCATCTCATGATCCTGGCATCGCCATCCAGAGAGTTAGCATACCCATCATAGGCCTGTGTGGGCAAGCACGGTGCGAGAGGCTCATCCACGCACAAGTCGGTATGCCGTCACATGCTCCAGTGGCCATGGTTCTCCTCGTTGACGAGGCCGATTCCTTCGGCCATTGTCTACTCCTCGGTGCTGACTTCATTCGGACTGTCGGCATCTGCCTAGATTTCGCGAGTCTTCAAATTCGACTGGGTGGGAGTGAAGTAAGCATGTTCGCCGATCCTGACGCTCAGAGGGCTGCCGCTGTCAGCTACACTGTTGACATGGGAGTCCCTACTACATCGTCTATTCGGGAGCATCAGGCCTCCAGTGACCAGCTGAAGGAGTTGAAGACGCATGTCGAACAGACAACCCCGCCTGGTCGTCTGCCTGAGAGCCTGAAATGTTTCAAGAAGCACATGGATCATTTGCAGCTGAGGGATGATTTACTTGTCTTCGACCACCCGGACAATGGTCCATTGCCGGTTATCTCGCGGTCATGGCTGGTCGAGTTGGTGTTTCACGCGCATGAAGATATGGCACACATCGGAAGAGATAAGCTGCTCGATCTTTTTGGTCAACGGCTCTTCGCGCCTGGACTTCAGTTGGTGATCTCAGACATTGTACGGACCTGCCAGCGCTGTCAGCTTTACAAACCATCGCCTCAATTACACCCACCTCCCGTGAAGAAGATAGAGTGTCAGTCGCCATTTGAGTTGGTGGCAGTCGATGTCGTCATGTTCCCTCGCTCAGGAAGAGGTCACCTGGGATGTCTGGTGGCGGTGGACCACTGTTCCAAGTGGGCAGTGGCAGTGCCTTTGCGATCCAAATCAGCAGCAGCGGTGGCACGTGCGTTTCATCATCGTGTTCTGCCAGCTCTTCTGAAGGTTCCTCAGCGGGTGCTGTCTGATAATGGTCCGGAGTTTCGTGGCATGGAATTTGAATCCGTCCTGAGCGACTGGAAGATTCAGCACGCGTACAGCACGCCTTACCATCCCGAGGGTAACGGTGCAGTGGAGCGTTGCAACAGGACGATTGGTCAGTCACTTCGCTTACTGACGGACTCCGCTGGTGACTGGGACCTGCACCTCGCCAAGGCTATGACAACGTACAACAACACCAAGCATGCAGAAATCGGTACGTCACCTGCGGCCCTCCTACTTGATGCGAGAAATGCGGACACAGAGTCGCGTGTCGCCTCTGATGAAGGGCAGGATGTGTGGAAGGCAGGCCATCCGAAGTTTAAGCCATTCCGAATCGGAGACCGTGTGAAAAAGACGGTCCAGCTACCTGGACATCGCCTCGAAAACAAGTTCGAAGCACGTTATATTGGTCCACTGACTGTATCTGAAGTGGCTGAAAGTGGTGTTACTTACCTCGTGAAGACGGATGATGGTGTTGAACGGAGGGCTCATCACTCACAGCTCCGTACTTACTATGATGCACCGGCTTACCTCAAGCAACTGCTACATCGCCGTACCTCGAAGGATGTCATCACTGCCGCAGGACCAGCGGTGGCGTCGGGCTCCCAGCCGGATCCGTCACAGATAATTCGTGCTGGAGTTCTGACTCCAACTGGAGTCGGTGAGGCTCCGACTGGACAACGTCTTGTTCGTGCAGCTACTCGGCCGATGCTTCAGCATCACGATCGGACGCAGTCTGCCACTCTGCGACGCAGCTGCCTTCGAGATCCCGCCTCATCGCGAAGAAGTCAGCGGGTGCGTTTTGAGATGAACGAAGATGGAGCGAGCAGGGGGCCATTGCACAGTAGCCCATTCTTCCGACGGTCGAGGCGCGTGCGTGACCGTGGACGGCGGGCGGCGGCACTTGGCGATGGGGGTTCCGACGAAACATGTCCTTCGGCATCTCCAACTTCGTAAAGTTCGTAAAACCCTTAGTTCCGATGACCGCCCCGGCTGCTGTTGTTATACATACATGGAAGCTTTGTCTGAATGTTTCTCTTTACTACGGGTGAAGTTGCTCTGTTGATGATGCCGTACATTGACTGTGATGGCGGGTGAAAAGTGTTTCTTTTGTTGCGCTTCTCGTTGCGATTTGTGTGGTTTGGCGAGTTCCGCAAGATGATATGACACGCGCGCCAGTTTTGTTGGTTGTTTTGTTTGTCCGCGCGACTTGGTGTAGAGGGGGGCAGTGTACCCGTATGTGCGTTTATGTTACACCGCGTCGCTGCGGTGTCCGAGTCGAGTCGGGGCTGACCTGACCTCGCCCCTGCGGGCGCCCTGCCCTCCGCCGGAGCCTGACCTCGCCCCTGCGGAGGTTACCGCCGCGGGGCACCGGCTGACCGCTGACTGCGGCGGCCGGCGGGGGGGGCGGGCATTCGGGGACGGAGCCGGAGCGTGACGGTCGTGCGGTTTTCGTGTCCGAGTGCTCACAAGCGGTGAAAATACAGTGTGCCTTTTTCAAGAACTTTATGTTGACTCTGGCGGCGCTCCGCTAACAATGTGACCAAAAAAATTTATAAAGGCTATGATAGGTTGGCCGGAAATGACGTCAGTCATGTTCTGCCGTTTTCGACCCAAAAAAGGGTTTCGCGGGAAGAGCTGTGAGGCCTATAGCTTTGCAAATACAGAAAAATGATAAATACATAAAAGCTGTAGAATCGACAGGGCTACAAAACTGCTATTTCGGATTTTTGAAATTTTTGGATTTTGACCCCCAAAAATCAAAAAAATAAATATTTTGGATATAATAATCGAAAAATCCGAAAAGTTTTTTGAATTTCGCAAAAACCGGAATATATGTGATAGTCCTTACCGCCTTCCATCCACATACCAAATTTGAGATTGATACCTCTTTTTTTGGCGAAGTTATAGCGAAAAAACTGTTCAAAATTGATGACGTCAAATTTTCAAACTCAATTTTTAGAAATTCTAGACCCCGTAGCGCAAAACAAAGACCACCATTAGACTCCCCGTGACGAGCTGCATCGAATCGATACCCATTTTATGAAAAACTATCAATTTTAAAATTTGACATTTTTTGGCCTGACCTTGACCTGAACTTCACCAGAAAGTGACCTAAGCCGTACCTGATAGTCTTATAACCAACACCATTGAGTTGGAAATGAAAAATTGGCCATAAAACATGCATCACACAACCTTAGTAAAGTTGGGCTCATGTGACCTGACCTGTGACCCTTGGTGACCTGACCTGTGACCTGACCTGGTATTGTCAGTGACCTCTAATAGCAACATATCTACTAGGCAACTGACGCCCTATCGCTGATTCTCGACAAAATGCGTTTTCCTCGGTGTTATAGCGCATTCCCTAGAAGACCCGTGAACGGTGAAACATTTCATCTTTGACCTGACCTGTGACGTCATCGGTGACCCCGAGGTCAATGAAATTTGGTTTCCTTCAACAAATTTGACAGGCCTTTCGAACGCCGTTTGAATTTTGCGGATCCGTCCAGTAGTTTCAGAGATACGAGGGGGGGGGGCAAAAAATAGCCCCCCCCCCCCCCACCAGGTCGCGTTATAAACAGACCCCACCAGGGCGCGGGTTAACGGCTGGTGAAAGATGTAGGTTAAAGGCATGACTCGCTTGCTAATTAAGAAAATAGTTTCACGTTAAAAATTGATGGGACTTCATTCGATTGTGTCTGTCTGTGTGTCTCAGGTACACCAGCTCGGGTGGCAGCAGCGTGCTCCGGTTCACCCTGGGGTCGCCAGAGTACGCGGTTATCGGGTGCACCAGCAGCAACGCCGTCGGACTCCAGAGACGACCGTGTCTCTTCCAGATGCTCCCAGCAAGTCAGTGTCCCTTAGGCTAAACATCAAAAACACTTCCTGATTCATCGTAAATGCATGCCTATTGTACGACAAGGAATGTGCTGGCGTGGCTCGCCAAAGGGGTCTATGTGAAATGCTCCAAATAACACGACCAGTCACTTTATCCTATTGTCCGTGAAAAATAATGCGAAGTTCAATGGCGAGCTCTCACACGCTTCAGGCATAAAAGCTTCTTTCTAATGGTGAAATCGACGTCTCGTATAGTTCGGTTGTCTGTAAATCTTTCCAATGAATGCCAAGTAGAGCATTGCGAAGTTTCTTGTCGCTTTAAATACCACACTTCCCAGCAGAACACTCGTTGGACTCGTTCCACAGAGTAGAAGTGTTCTTTCTTCAGACGTTTGACGGTTGATTTGTAAAAGGTTTCAAAGTGGCGCTGAACTTGAGATGAGGCACCGTTGTAGTTACCCAACTTACAACAAGACAACTTTTCGAGCCTTTCATGCCTAACAAAGTGTCTGTATCGAAATTCCACTTGTGTCAATCTCGGTTTACTCTAGTGCTGTTAAGTCGTCCGCTGTCAAATTGTTTCTCCATTATTTCCTCAATTTCCTCACCTTGTGAACTGAGTGCGGCATTAGATTCATTGTGGTTGACTCATGCCGGGCACCCTTTGTGGCATGGCCGACACGCACTATTTTTAGACCATGTCGTTTATATCCCTTAATTTCATTGTGCTCTCGGTCTTTATGGCCTTTCAAGTTTCATTTCCATCAAATGACATGCTCTTTCGCAAGTTCTAAAGACAAAGCATAACATTGCAAGATTATCTGTTGCTAAGAGGCTAACAGTGCCGGCTTGTGACTACCAGAAGCACCCATTTAGACGGTTTTAAACTCAAAGATGTTTTCTTTTATCTAGCTGTGAATACCGCCCACCCTCTATTGCAGGCCACTATCGTTATTAATTACGCGTTGTATCGCTCGCTGTCCAGGCCTGCCGGAGCGGCTGCGTCAGTGTGAGGTGCACAACCAGACGGTCACATCGTTCGAGATCGGTTGTCAGAAGGGCTCCGACGGCGGACTTCAGCAGGTGTTCGCCCTGGTGGTCTGGCAGGATCAGGACAGACAGGTGGGTCGCGCATCCATCCCTCAGCACACTGTGCCCTGGTTCGTTGGCTGTCTGACAGGACCAGAACAGACAGGTGGGCCGGACACCTCCTTCCCATTACTAGCTGCCCTAGTTGCTTGCTACGAGCAGGACTGACGGGTGGGCCGTGCAGTGTGTACCCCTTGCAACCCTTCACTTCAAGCGAAAAATTATGTAAACTCAGCAATGCCCTGAAGGGAAAACAGAGCTTTAAATTGCAAATTTTGCTAAGGCTGAACTTTCGTTTCCAACGTTACCTCACAATTCTACGGAATGCTGCTAAAGCTCTATAGCTGTCATCATATCAGAGCCTGGTGACTGGCGACAGCAAAGATTGGTGTTGATGTGTGCTGGTCCCTCTGTCTCCACAGCTGGTCCGGAACGTCAGCTCGAGCACGCCGTACTTCCGTGTGACGGAGCTGTCTGCCGGCACCAACTTCACTGCCGAGCTGTACGCCGTGAACGGCAAGGGCCGCGGTCGGATCACCCGACTGCAGGTGCCCACACTGGAACTGACCGCGGACAGAGTCGGTGAGTTGACACGGATGGAGTCGTAGAGTTCAGGGGGTGGATTATAAAATCAGAGAGTATTTTATAATACTCTCTGTCACGCTGCCGATGAGTGTCCGTGAGAGGGGTGTTGATACGGGCAGATGACCGGTGAGTTGTTGCACAACCGTCCCTTCAGGATCCCTCCGCTCCTTGAAACATTTTCTCTCGTGTTCTGGGCTGTGCGGTGATCGGTAACCGGTGAAGGAACTCTGTTGGGGTCTGGGGACAAATTCCCGGAGTAGCTGTTTAGCGTGACTCGGTGACCTGTCCCCCGGGATGGGCTGAGCCGCGGGGTGCGTCAATTGATTGTCTTCTTAGTTCTCACGACTCATATTTTTCTCTCACCAATGTCCTGAAGGGAAAACAGAGCTTGTGGTCCTTTAATGGTCCTTTTTGGTCTGAATGTTTGCAATAGACAAAGCAATAACAAAGTTACAGCCTATAGAATAACGTCCGGGATTGTGACGAAAGGCATGCGTCGGAAGTATGGGTGGGTGAGTCAAAACGTCCAAGTCTATGACAGATCCAACTGTCGGGCTGCAGAGGGGGAGGCAATTGCGACCGGTGACGGGGGTCGCGCCGACGTCCCGATCTTCCCATTGCATGTCCGTATACGACGCCCCGTCGCGCTACCAGACGACCCTCGGCCGGGTTATGGCCGAGTTATCGACACCGTAAAAGCTCGGAGCAGCCTGATATTTTCTGCCGCTCACCGGGCCACCCAGATGAGGAAATCGGCCCAGAGCGGCAACGCAGGCTCTGAGGTTGTACATACGCGCGTCGGGTCAGGGGCCGTGCAAGGGTTGATGAACCGGTACTTGTTTTATAGCATCAATCTCCGTGGGAAGAGAAGGGGCTGAACAGGACTGAGAGAGACAGTACGGGCTGAAGTATAGTTACCGTAAATTCCCACAGCTTTGGTGTTTTGAACACTGGCGGTGTCTGGCGGTGTATGCCAGTGTCTGACGATGTATTTTAGTGCTCGTATCCGAACTCCGGCGGTATCTGACGTTGTTTGGTGTCTGTGCAGCCTACAGCGTGGCTCCTGCGGCCGCCCCGGTGGCCGCTCTCCTCTCGGGCTCGATACTGGCCACCCTTCTTCTACTTCTGCTGCTCGCTGGCGCGCTAGTCACCGTGAGGAGAAGAGCGGCCAGCGGCCGACGTCACGCTGCCGCCCCCGTCACCACGCCGCCCGACAAACCGACAGAGAGTCACCAGCACATTACTGTTGGACCGGACATCGTCCCGGCAGGTCAGTCAGCTGTCTCATCTTTGGTGAGGGACCATGGGAATAGTGCTGTGGTCCATCTGCTTTTGTTGTGAGTTATCACCGTCTCATGGAGTAGGTATGACAGGTATGCGCTCAATGTGGTGGCATTACCTGATTACCTGGCATTATCTTACATGAATGGGCTGCCAGCCTCAATGACCGAATGTGTCGTTGAGTGATGTGTCGCTGTGGTCGCTGTTTCACTGTGTCCAGGGCAGTGTGTCGCTGATCGACTGTGACCAGTGTGTCTCTGTGACTGTGTGCCGCTGTGACCGGTGTGTCGCTGACCGGCGACTCGCTGTGACTGCTGTCTCGCTGTCCCCGATCTCTCTGTCACGCAGTCGCCGTGAATGGACTGACACTTTGACAGACCTAGATTTCTGCGCGGCACTCCCAGCGCTCTGGCCGCTGTGTCTCCGCCCAAGCGCACCGGTGGCGGTCCCCGCGGATTTCCAGCCAATCTGAGCCGCTGTCAGACGGAAAAATTGGCCACTGACTTCCGGTGGCCAGTCGATAAGCGGAGGCGCCCTGACAGACCGGCTGCGGGCGCACCGGTGCCGGCTGCGGGAGCACGGACAGATCAGCTGCGGGAGCATCGGTGCCGGCTGTGGACGCATTGTTTGGACAGTGCTTTGCCAGTTGCACATGGGCGCCCTAACATTGTGACAGCGTGACAGCGAGTCGACAGCCGTCAGTGGTTCCCCGACAGCCTGTCTTTGGACGTCTTGACAGCGATGTGTCTAAACCGCTCACCAATGGGCATTGTCGAACTCATTTCAGACTCAACCTACATACCTCAGTTTTCTTTCAGTTATTACTTACGACTTCTTATTATTGAAAAACTGCCTCGCTTACATGTGACGCTAAGCATGGTAAGCTGCGATGCATCCTTATACTTGGTCAACTATTCACACATAGAGCTCACCAGCTCACCAGTTGGTAATGTTTTTGGATTAGGCGACACGACCGTCTTTGTAGCCCTCTTTACAGTCATCAGTTGATCTATTGTAATTACGCCGGACAAACAGCACTTATTTTTGTTGTCTCAAAATTGTTTCCACTAAATTACCAGCCAACTTCTTTATCAACCAGTAGGGAACAAAAAGCCTAAAAGAACAAGAAGGAAAACAAGGAGGAACATTTGTCAACATCGTCAGTTCGCGCTGCGGACGCCTTGACTTTTCACGTCTCACATCAAATCGCAAGAGCTATGATTTGAACGCAAATTTGTCTTGTCGTATTCAAATGTCGTCTCAGCCAGCGGCGGCTCGGACCGCTGCAGCTCGCATTTAAATGACATCTGGCGATGAGTGTCGTCTCGTCGGCTGGGTATATAGAGCTCAGCTCGTCTGTCCGTCTGTCGGTGGTCTGTGCTGGCGGTCAGTCGGCGCTCCCTGCGGGGGACTGCCGCCACACCGGTGTCCCAGGGGAGCTCCTGAGCGGCGAGCGGCGGCGCGGCGCGGCCGGTCGCCGGACGGGAGCTCAGCTGGTGTCAGAGATTGGCCGCCGCCGCTCTGAGCTCACCGGCTGCCCCAGAGAGCAGTGTGTATCGATTCAGCGGCCGTGTGACCGCCGGCATCGAGTCGGGCCGCCGCGTCGACCAGGGGCGGCGGGCGGGCGTAACACCGGGCCTGTCCGCTCATAGACGGGACAGGGAACCCACCTCCGGTTACAGACGGGACAACGGGATTCCGCAGCTCGTTAGTGAGACAGGACAACGGGATCCAGCGGTCCGTTCACAGACAAGACAACGGAATTCCACGGTCCGTTCACGAGACAGGACACTGGGACTAACCGTTCGTCCACTGGCAGGACAGTTGACGGACGGTTTGCGAGACAGATATGATGGGATCCATCGCTCATCCACAGAAATAGGCAGTCGGACCCGTGATTTGTCCTCAGCACGAACACTGCGGCCTCGAATAATTAGACAATGCTCCAGACATGTTTGGTTTCACGGACCGTGTAGCACACTGGCGTAATTTAGATGGACCAATGCATTGCCGTAGACTGACATGAATTAACGGACTAATTTAACGATCCGTTCGGCTCACGTTAACGAACAACGGTCGTAAATGGGCGCGGTTTAGCAAACTAATGACGACACTGTGCTAGCTTCAGACTGCTTTTTCAGCCCAGAGAAGTTATCATTACCGGCGGTTGAGGAATAGCTTCAAACGTCATGACTCACAAGCATTCCTCCCCTCACAATCAACGCTGGTGAAGCCGTGTAATTTTCCTTTTTTACCACATCACAGAGTAGTAAAATAGTGTATTTAGCTACCATTAGATGGACATTGGACAGATGGTAAGCTTTTGTCGTGTTCCCTATACAATTCTGTCGTATCTCATCTGCCGGGTACCACCAACTGACCGAAGCTGTCTCTCCGCAGATCGGGAGGTGACCGGCCGGCCACTGACCGCCTCTCTGGTCGGCTCCTGTCTGCCTGACACGGACGTGGCGTCTCCCTACTACAGGGTCAGTGCACCCCCTGCACGCACGTGCCACTTCGCGCAGTATTGAGCAGTGATCCCAGTCTCACCATCGGGGTTTCGTAGGAAGTGTAAAATTAAATTACGCCGCCGGCCACCGCAAAATTGAGTATCGCCTTCCGGACAGAGCTGTCGCACAGTGAATAAATGTGAGCTAAAAGTTATGAGCATCGCCAATCACTATGGCAAGGGAGGCGACATTTTGATGTATGCTTGCGTGTATGTCACTTGCTCTTCTTTATGATGGTTCACTCTATTCTCCTTTCCAGCTCCTTACATCATAACCTACATCCTCTCACATCTTCTGTGAGAAAATTGAAATGATAGCACGTTTTCGCGCACATCCTGTCTGTCTGTCTGTCTGTTGTATGTCGCAGTCTCATCGGCGGTTTCCGTCTGTGATTTAACTATGTGACCTTTTAAAAGTTTGTGTTTCTGTGATCAGTGATCAGCTTTGACCCGTTAACTCGTATGACCTTTGATATCGAAGAACATTTGTGATCTCTGGCCTCTATGACCTCTGGCCATTTGCAACCTCTGTGACCTCTTTGAACCCTTCGACCTCCTAGAACCTATATGACTTCGGTGACCGTTTGTAACCATCTGTGACTTCAGTGACCATTTATATGTGCCGCCCTCCTCAGAAGCGATTGCAGACGGCAATCGACAGCGTCGAGCTGCCGCGCTCTCGGCTGGTGGCGGGGGCGGCCGAGCCGCCGGAGCCGCCGCCGCCGCCCACGCCGCCGCCCCCGCCCGTGCTGGTCGGAGATCGGATCACCTTTACACGCTGCAGCCACCGGCAGAGTTTTGTATGACGCGCCGGTCGCTGAGAGGGGCGGGCTGTACCTGCCGGGGAGACGACCGGACCTCAGGTGAACTGGGACTGTTACAACGGGTGAAACGGACCATGACTGTGTGTTAGAAGAGAGGTGGACCGCGGGTGTGTTGGGAACGGGACCGGACCATGGGAAGGACCACGGACCGGACCACCGGACCAGACTACAGGTATGCCAGTAACGGCTCCCAAATGTTTGTCAGCGGACCGTTTGAAAGTATGTGTATGTTCTGTTATGGGATGGGGTGACGGTGGTCCGACCAGTCGCAGTATGTGGTCGAGACGGTGAGGGTACGCCATTGGCAAAGGCCACGTACCGGACGCGCGGACGCGCAGTGTAAGTGTGGTATGCGTCAAACTACCGTTCTCGGATCGTTGTGCCGGTTGGCAGCGAGGAGTGTCCATCGCTGACCCGATAAAAGACCCTGAACCGCCACTAGACTCGCCACTAAAATGGCCTGCCGTCGCCGCCAAACGCTGCGGAATGTTGGCTAGATCCGCGTCGTTCTGCGTAGCGAGGCGTATCAAACTTTCACTAAATGCAATACATTGATCCAGGTCGCTGTTACAGCGGTCCGGGTTGCTGGCTCAGACCAGGGCCGTATGTACCCAGTCGGCCGACTCTGCCAGTGACGGAAAGGGGCCGAGCGAGTGGTGGGCGCTAACTAAAGCAGCTATTCTTTATCCGTGTTTAATAACTGTGGCTAATGGAATGTTGAATGTCATGTGTCGTTTGAAACTGTTACCGTGAGCTATGGAGGGGATTATGTCATGTTATTATCAGTCACCTCATCACTCACATTTGATCGGAAGGGTCCACAAGCTTTCCGAATCTGAATTAAAGTACGTAACTTCATACTGCTGTTGCAATTTCGCAAAATACTCATCAAATATGTTTTCTATCATTCTACGCATGGTTGAAGTTACAAGAATAAATGTTGTTCAGAGACACGGGGGCTTTGTTGCATGCCATGACCTTTGCAGTTACTTGAATATTTGTATGTTGGTGAACTTAAGCCCTAGTGTAAAGACGAAGAAACCAGACAGAACCAGACCTTTGCAATTACTACCGAATAGCAAACGTTGCCGGGTTACTGAAATGATGAAAAATATGCTCTACGTGGCAATGCATAACGGAGGTGCGATGTTCTCAAGTTTCTATTTCGGAGTTGAGGCCTTTGGTCCGTTCGATCACACAACCTACCGTTGAAGGTCAACGATAAAATAATGAATGAAACTGATCATTATGTACCATGAGTGATAATTCACGATCCATATCCATCAATCCATAAACGGCACGGCTGGCGATCTTGTGAATGTGGCGAAAGATTCGCCATTTCATTTCACTGGAAGTCCTAAGCACGGCCTAAGCTAAAAGTTATATGGCAGACTGTTCATGAGCCACGATCGAAACCATGTGGAAGAAAAGGAAAGGCTCTCCCCTTCCACCATACACATGCAGAATATCTCAGAGAGGAATAGCGGCTGGTAGTTCACTTCCACCTGCTCACGCTTCCAGTACATATAGTTCGAGATGCTCCGTAAAGCCGACCAGCTTCCAGCCCCGCGGCCACTTCTGACGGGCTCTTGAACGATCAATTTCAATGGCTGTCCAGTCCAGACACCCAGATAAAAAGGCTTGCTGCTTCCTCTCGTAAACACTAAACTGCCCAAGACGAGCAGTCTTTCCGTTTTTCTTCGGGCCGTCCAAACAGAGAAAACAGTTGGCTTCAGAAACAGTCCCGTCGTGGCAGCTGGGGCCCTTTAGAAGAACAGATGGTACACACAACAATCGCCCCTAAAAAGTGAAACTTAAATGAAACTTGTGTTATCGTCGGAGAACAAAAGGTTGTTGTAACTTGAAGACGATAGCGGTTGTTTCGCTGTTTTGCGAGAAGACATTATCACGCAATCGCAGTATCATCAATCTCACAGGAACCCTGAGGGGTCGGAGTTACTTCCTGGATATCCTTTGTTCATGCTTATTAGTTCATGCTTATCAAATTGCAGGACAGTATTAACTCGAGGAAACGAGGAATACGCGACTGATCATGACGGTTATATTTTATTATAAACATCAGAAAACACAAGCAACTTGGTCATGGTCCAGTTAACAGCATACCGCGGTGCATCATGTGAACATGTTGTCATTAAATTACTTTCACACACGGACCACTAAATGCCGGTGAAGTGCTAAAGAGGAATGACTTTGACACGAGAACCCCACAGCGAACGGTTTCATATGTGTATCACAAATGCATCACTTGGATCCGAGCTCACCACATCAGTATTCAACAAACGGAAAACGGCAAATACTCACGGAGTGGATAAGCACAATGTAGTTAATACGGCAAACAGATCCAATACGTTGTTCATTTGATGCTGCAGTAAAATCTCTGACTGGAAGACTCGCACCATGCCGAAGGCAAAACCACCCATCCAGGCACGGCAGCTGGGCTGACGCGCTAGCACCATATGGATCAGATCATATCGGAACACGAGAGCACGGCCAGGACTGTCTCTAGCCGGCTCGGCACGCATTTGGAGTGTAAGTCAGTGTTGGTGTACCACAAGGCACGGAACTCTTTCGAGCACACAGGGGCCACAGAGTGAACAGAAATAACCAAACACTGAAATACAAACATCAGTGACATGTGAATGGCCACCAAAAACGTGATGGTTAAAAACGCTATACCAGATTAAATACAGAGCAAGCTCGTTCTAAATTCTGGAACGTGTGTGAAGTGAACAAGACAAAGACCTAGGAGCGGCGAGCGGAGCCGATTGTCACAGCTCATCTCTCGGCTGACGTTCTTCCGCCTGGCCGGACCGCCGCTGGCCGCTCGCAGCCTGCACCAGGTGTCCGCGCACAAAGCGGACGATTTTCTCCGGCTCTAGACTGACCACCTCTGTGCCTACCATGTCCAGTCGGCCGCCACCCTCGTACACCTTCAGAGTCGGGTAGGCACGCACGCCGGCGTTTTGGCAGAGTCGCGGGTACTGCTGGCAGTCTACCTTGCCGCAGCGGACTTCTCCCTCCAGCGACTGGGGACAGACAAACGCAGACACAGTCAGATAACGGCAGCACGAGAGATACATGGACGAACATACCACCGCAGCAAGCACAACGGAACACAAATAAAGCCTGGACAATATCACTCGTCATACCCGAGCGAATAATATGATACCACAGCAGGCAGGTACCACCTTACCGCAGGCATCGTCAAGCTAATTACACGGAAAACGTGAATAAAATTAAGCGATTGAGCCGGATACAGAAGCGGGGTACTCGAGCAGCGGCCCTGCAGTGCCGGCGACACCATCGGACACGTTCCGTATCGGCCGATCTCATCGTCTCATGACCCGGGCCCAGCTAGTTCCGGGTGAGCCACTAACTTCGAGAGCGGAGAACTTGAGCAATCGAGCACGGTGCCGCGGCGATTGGACGGCCGATCGGGTGCGTCATCAGGGACCAGTACGCCCGCGGGCGACCGCTCCGTACAGGAGCTCAGGGCAGCCAACGAGTTATTGAACAAAGTGGGCACGGTCGGGGTTCAACAGGTAAAAAGGAAGCGATTCAAAGCATGAAACCATCCTGATTACCATAGACGTCGAACCTCGTCAAACACATACGAGTATGAAAACCGAACACGGCTATTTGATTATATAAGCAAATTGTATCAGACATCAATAGCTCAGGCAAATCATGTAGTCTTCAGTTACCTGGTTTAACAAGACTGTGGCCATCATATCCTCGTTCTCAATGACGCAAACACCGCAGCAACAGTCCCTGCTCACTGCTGTGACTCCCGACTACCCCAGCCACTAGTTAGTCATCGTTAGCCAGCCTGCGTCATCATTAACGAGCCGCCGTCGATCTTGTTGATCAGCCGCTGAGCGTCACCGACTGGTGTGCTCCGCCGGCGACACGACGGCCGCCGGCGGCACAGCTGCCCGCGTGGGCCGCCCTGAATAATTGGCTGGGAGCGCGCGGCGCCCCTAACGACCGGCGGGAGCGGCTGGACCGGACGGCAGGGCCTGATGGCGGCTGGCGCGGTCCCTGACCGGCTGGGACGGCGCGGGGGATCACAGTTGGGTAACAAAGACACCGGGAACAGCGTCCCTGTCTGACCTGAGAGACAACCCTTGCTGTTTGTCTCTCTCACGAATGTTTCGCATGTAGTCCGTCCTATCCTCCCTACTTTCCACGGAATCTCTCCCTTTCCCGATTCTCCCACGAAGTTTCCAGTCTCTAATCTCTCTCATGTAGTTTTTGATCCACCAGCTTTCCCACGGCGTCTCTCATGTCCCCCATACCCTCTTCGCGTCGTCTCCATCCTCCGACCCTCTCCAGCAAATCTTTTACCCGCTCAGAAACGCTGTCCGGCCGGAACCGATTTGTCGAGCGTGGCCGGCCGACCGCACCGCTGATACTCTCACGGTGCAAGCCGGACCTCCCGGGTCGTTAGCAAAGGTCAGTTGGTAGCCGACCGGTCAGCGGGTACAGAGGGAGAGGCGGTTAGGGAGGACCGAGAGGGGCGGTTAGGAGAGGACCGAGAGGGGCGGTTAGGAGAGGACCAGGAGAGGCGGTTAGGGGAGGACTGGGAGAGGCGGTTAGGGAGGACCGAGAGGGGCGGTTAGGGGAGGACTGGGAGAGGCGGTTAGGGAGGACCAAGAGGGGCGGTTAGGAGAGGACTGAGGGAGGCGGTTAGGAGAGGACTGAGGGAGGCGGTCAAGGGACTGTGAGAAACGGTCGGGGGAGGGGTCAAGGGGAACCAGGAGATGCGGTCAAGGGGACTGGAAGAGGTGACCGGCTCCTCCAGCCGTACCGAGCGCATGGGGCCGTGGGGTTTGCGAGCTAGCCGTCTCAGGTAAGTAGCATCACAATATGATGGGGAGTCGTTTATTCTCATGATCGCGCATAAAAGAGAAATGAACGAAAGCAAATCGACTCTGAAATACACCTTTTATCAGAACTGCTGTTACAGGGTCTCTATATGTCTGGGTATGCGTTTGAATGTGTGCCACTACCGTCACACGTATTTACCAACTGACTCCTCCCGTTCCCGGCCACCATCTGTTGGCGACTTATTAAGGGAATATGGAACAGACGGCCCGGCGCTGTTTGCCCGCGTCTATCGACTGCAGTTGATGACGACTTGTCAGCGCTAATTGCCGCCGCCTCGAGGGAGACGGAGTGCAGTCAACACATCGAGCCGAGGAACAGCCGAGTGCCGTCAGCTCCCAAGGCCGGGGAGTGTCATCAGGACATATCTGCTGCGGAGGGGGGAGTGTCGTCAGCTTAGTTAAATCAGCGCCCGACACTCGCCCCTGGGAAGGTCGATCGATACCAACAAACTGAACCGCAGACCCAACCAGAGCTGATTAGCATACGACCGAGACGTGATCTGTGGACAGGATTCAGTCGTGACGCGCATCCGTGATCAGAGACCAGTGGAGCGCGCTGGTGGGACAGAATTAAGACGGTCCCGCGTCTCGACTGTCGATTGAAAGGCGGTGGATACGCCGGGCCTCTTGCTTTTCCGCAGCCCGGTTCTTTGAATTAGATGCCCGGTCCTTAACAACACAATTCACACACCCGAACTACAAGGAGGTGCTAAGTACATATGGCCGCTACGAGGACTACCGGCTGTAGCAAAGAGGTCATCAGGCCGAGAGGCTTTGCAGCGTTGAGGTCGCCGTGTGGAACGGAGATAACATTAGTGCGGTAGGTAGGAAGATTAGGGAGGGACAGGTGAGACAAGCACCGCCCTGCAGTCTTACCCGTGCCACCAGCTGGAACTTTGGCGCAAACATCTGACAGTGGCCGCACCAGGGTGTGTAGAAGTCCACCAGCCACGGCCCGGGGCCGTCCAACACGCGTGGCACGAACTCGGACTCTGCCAGCTCCGTGACGGGGTCCGGTAGGAAGCGCAGCGTCCAGTCGAG